CGACTCCCTAAATTCCGATTCCCTAAATCCCCGACTTCCTAAATTCCGATTTCCTAAATTCCAAATCTCTAAATCCTAAATCCCTAAATTCCAAATCCCTATATCCCCACTCTCTAAATCCCCACTCCCTAAATCCCCGTCTCCCTAAATACCGATCCTCTAAATCCCCGACTCCCTAAATTCCGATTCCCTAAATTCCCGACTTCCTAAATTCCAAATCTCTAACTCCTAAATCCCTAAATTCCAAATCCCTATATCCCCACTCCCTAAATCCCCGTCTCCCTAAATTCCGATCCCCTAAATCCTCGACTCCCTAAATTCCGATTCCCTAAATCCCCGACTCCCTAAATTCCCACTTCCTAAATCCCCGTCTCCCTAAATTCTGATCCTCTAAATCCCCGACTCCCTAAATTCCGATTCCCTAAATCCCCGACTTCCTAAATTCCAAATCTCTAACTCCTAAATCCCTAAATTCCAAATCCCTATATCCCCACTCCCTAAATCCCCGTCTCCCTAAATTCCGATCCCCTAAATCCTCGACTCCCTAAATTCCGATTCCCTAAATCCCCGACTCCCTAAATTCCGATTCCCTAAATCCCCCACTCCCTAAATCCCCACTTCCTAAATCACCACTCCCTAAATCACCACTCCCTAAATCCCCACTCCCTAAATTCCAAATCCCCAAAATAAAATAGTAAATTGCATCCCCCAATTCGATTCGTGCGACCATTTTAAAGAACGACACAGAGAATTACAGCAGCGATAAAATGAAGCGATAGAATTGAGCGTGGAATGACGAAATAGGAAAAAGTGATATAAAAAACGTTCCGTAGTAGAATTGTACGCGAAAGAATTGTTGGACATTTTTCATTGGGGAATTTTTGCAGTGTAGCCTCCCTTGGCCACAGTTATCAATCTGTCGATAACGGTGTTGTCATTACTCGTAGGTTGCAACGCGAGAACAGAGAATGAGCTGTCTCAGCGCGATCCTCGTGATTTATTTATGCGATCGCATCGAAAAACGTTCGTTGACCCGGCCACGTTGGCGGTTCTTTAATTTATTGACGATTGTTTATTCCTGTTTCATTCTCGATTTCTGTTTGTTTGCCGAACAACGAGCTGATACAATTCAGTTCTTAAATCAATCAATGATATTTCCTTTCCTTTTTTTTCATCGGAGTTTTTATTTTGCGGCTCGCCTATCGGATTTCAGTTTTATTTTTCCGAGGTTTCGTGCAAATTTGTCGAGTTATAGTTTCGCTCCGATATTTATTCTGATAGTTATTGTTTTTATGTTTTTTATTGTACGTTGTTAAAATAGAAATTGTTTAAATTTTTTACAATTTAATTTTAATTCGACTCAATATTAATTTCACTGAAACTTGCAATATTTAATCGTATTTGTAAGCATATTAAAATTGTAAAATATTTTCTTCAAAATTACAAGAAAATTTAAAAATATTTAGACGTCCAAAGAGGATCGCGGATGGTAAATTTTATTTACACGAAAACATTTTGATCTCACAAATTGCCGGATCCTCAAAATGAATAAGTTACAGACTTCTGTAGAAGAGTAACATTGCTTTACAATTCCTCTCGAAGGGTGTATTCCTCATTATCGTTTGGTTCGTATTTTTCAATCGCAGCAAATAAACAAATAAAGAGCAGGCGATGGCAATTATCGTTTGAAAAGCATCGCTGATCTCGGAAAGGTCGTGTCTGAACGATACAGGATCGTCTCGAGACGACAAGGTGAAGCTCAAAGGATATCGTCGTGATGCTCTCGGGATCATCGAGAAACGATAAAGCAACGCTCGTCCTAGAGAATCGTCGCGGCAATAATCCGGAAGTAGGATCTATATCTACGGCGATCAAGATACCCGTTGCAAACAATATTCCATACTATAAAATTGGAGTTTCCTACCACTCGGACATAGCTACTTGCCCCACAATCGTGTGCTATTGAATTTATATCGATTTTGATGCACTTTTCTTGAAAAAGTTGGGAGGACAGGATGTTCCGAAGGAACACTTACTTCTTTCAATTTTAACAATATTTTCAATTTCAAATTCTGTCATCTTTGACTTCAAACCTCGGTTTCACTGAATTTAATTTTGATACTCAATTTCCAGCACCATAATCGGTTCTCAACCTCAACTTCGTTTAATTCGATTTTAATAGCAATTTCCGTGTGGAATTCAATTTTAATCTCGACTTCAATTTCGTGTCCGATTTAAACTTTAACTTCACCTTCGTTGAATAGCATTTCATAATATTCGAACTATTGCTTATAAGGTGATGACGCATAATGTGTGTCAACGTTATGCAGAAACGCACCATATGCGTCACAGTCATTGTAATATGTTGACGCACCTGGTGCGTCATATTCTACCTACTGGTTGTAAGGTAATGACGCACCGTATGAGTCAACATGATACAGGAACGCACCATATGCGTCACAGTCATTGTAACGTGTTGACGCACCGGGTGCGTCATATTCTAACTACTGGTTGTAAGGTAATGACGCACCATGTGAGTCAACGTTATGCAGAAACGCACCATATGCGTCACAGTCATTGTACCGTGTTGACGCACCGGGTGCGTCATATTCTACCTACTGGTTGTAAGGTAATGACGCACCATGTGAATCAACGTTATGCAGAAACGCACCTTATGCGTCATATACAGTGTAACGTACTGACACACCTGGTGCGTCATGTATTTATTGCTTATAAGATAATGACTCACACGGTGCGTCATAAAGTACCTATGCAACATAACGTAACGACGCACCATATGCGTCACATTTAGCCTAACTTACTGACACAGAAGGTGCGTCATATTCACTATAACATACTGACACACCTGGTGCGTCATCTTCACTATAACATACTGACACACCAGGTGCGTCATGTTCACTATAACGTACTGACACACCAGGTGCGTCATATTTTACATAATGCTTACAATGACACACACGGTGTGTCATCACCTATGTCAACATACCATGTAGACGCACCATGTGCGTTACACTTACTATAGCATAACGACGCACCAGGTGCGTCATGATTGAAGTTAAACGTCATTTAATTGAATTTTAAATGTAAATTCAGCATCAAATTCAACTTTAATCTGAATTTCCCGTACGACATAAATCTTAAGCTCATTTCATCGAATTGCATTTCGATTTCAATTCTCACCTCGATGTCGGTTTCATAAAATTCAACTTCAATTTCAATTTCTGTATCACGTTCGTTGATTTCTGACCGAAAGAAACGAGATTCTAACCGATAAAATAAAACTGTCATCGTGTACGAACAAAATCTCGAGAGATTTCAAGAATGCTGGTTCCATAGTTTTCTCGATACAACATTCTATCTTCCATTAAAATAACGTTTTATTGCCGTATCTCTGAGAGCCAGAACGATGCACGTCTTCCACGAAAGCATCAAGGGTGCCGGGTATCTCGAAACCGGAAGAGCGGTACGATAAACCCGCTGGAGACGTTGTTGGAAACGAGCGATTTATAAATGTCACAGACTAGCAAATACATCTCTCTGTGTTTCTTTTATGAACCATGAACCGTTCGAAATATACACGGATACGTGTAGCATTTGTGTTCTGTAACGTCTCAACTCGTTGATGCTCGGTCCCGCACATATATTCCGCGAATATATTTGTCTTTCGAGTCTGCTTTTGTGCTTTTCTGGCATCGATCTTGCGCTTTGAAAGCGTTTCGACGTATTCAAATGACGAGTGCCTGTCGATAAGAACGCGAAAAGAATTCTTCAAACGAGTTTCAATTTCTGCTGCATTTTCAAAATTCCTCTCTTAACTTTTCGCTCATCGTTACCTCGTCGGATAATAATTTTTATTTTATCTTCGGAGTCATTGAAATTGCAACCTAATTTCCGTGATAACGATCTCGTAACGCTGTGTAACATACAAAGGCGAACCATGAGGCGAGATACTTGGATGGTAAAAACGAGAGGGGAAAGGAACAGAGTTGCGTCCAAGTATTGTAGTATCGCGTAGCTACTTAAAACTTTCGGAGCTTGTCTTGTGTCCCTACTAGTTGGCACCTTGCTTACTTAGCTCGGCTCTGCAATTTCTACCTTTTCCCATGGTCTCCTTCTCACCCCCTGTCTCAGCGTTGGTTACACCCTTCTTGAAAACGAAGTTTACCTTTGTTTCTGCCCGTCAACAAGGCATACTTCTCGGTTGGGGATCATCCTGGATGATAGCGATACTTAGGCTACTGGTATAATAATTGGGGGATGATGAGGGTTGTTTGTGAACTCCTTTTGTGTCCGTTTTGTTTGAACACCATTGTTGCAAATTAAAACTGTTTTTCATCTGAGTAATCTTTTTGTTTCAGGGCGGAGAAATGCTATCGCTGTATCGTGATGCACATGAAGCATCCGAACGTCCTGCAATATAAGGAGAGTGAGTATCTTTCTAGTTATACAAGTCAACGTTTAAAGAAGTAGCATCATTTTTATTTTATCATTTTTGTTACAGCTTATTGCACGGACGAGTCACCGAAGCCGAGTCTACTCTCGATGTGCAGCAAGTTGACCAGCGATACGATTCTCATTTCCTTGTTTCGTACGGGAGCTGCACCTATGGCCTGTCCCTTCAAGGGTCCCTTAGAATTCACTTACAGCCATGGCGAAGGAGAATGCAAGTTTCCGTTGTCCATTGCTGAGACGTGCACACAGGAGTCGCGGTTGCTTCTGCGTTACCAGGCGTGCGCCAATGTTTATTCTTCTGAGAGTGTCGGTGAGTATTTTATTTATTTTTATACGTTGCTCAATGGCAGGTAAAATAAAAAACTTGATACGGGCAATAATAAGGAAACGTGTAGTCAGATGGAAACTGAGGGTGTAGGCAGAGAAGTAGGAAGAGAATGCGTTTTATTAGACAAGTGGAAACAGGGAGTGCGTAGTCAGATAAGTAGAAACAGCAAGTATTTGGTCAGACTAGTAGAAACAGGCAGTATGTGGTCAGAGAAATAGCAACAGTCAATGGTCAGACAAGTAGAAACAGTCAATGGCTAGACAAGTAGAAATTGTCAATGGTCAGACAAGTAGAATCAGTCAATGGTCAGACAAGTAGAAACAAGCAATATGTGGTCAGACAAGTAGAAACAGACAGTATGTGGTCAGACAAGTAGGAACCGTCAATGCTCAGACAAATAGAAACGGTCAATGGTCAGACAAGTAGAAACAGTCAATGGTCAAACAAGTAGAATCAGTCAATGGTCAGACAAATTGAATCAGTCAATGGTCAGATAAGTAGAAATAGTCAATGGTCAGACAAGTAGAAACAGATGGTATATTTTAAGACAAGTAGAAACAGTCAATGGTCAGCCAAATGGAAACAGTCAATGGTCACACAAGTAAATACGGCCAGTGTTTAATCGGACAAGTAGAGTGTTCCTACAGGCAATATATGGTCAGACAAGTAGAAACAGACAGTATGTTGTAAGACAAGTAGAAACAGTCAATGGTCAGCCAAATGGAAACAGTCAATGGTCACACAAGTAAATACCGCCAGTGTTTAATAAGACAAGTAGAGTGTCCCTACAGGCAATATATGGTCAGACAAGTAAAACCGACAGTATGTGGTAAGACAAGTAGTATCAGTCAATGGTCAGCCAAATGGAAACAGTCAATGGTCACACAAGTAAATATCGCCAATGTTTAATCAGACAAGTAGAGTGTTCCTACAGACAATATATGGTCAGACAAGTAGAAACAGTGAATGGTCAGACAAGTAGATACTGCCAGTGTTTAATCAGACAAGTAGATACAGCTTGTTTAATCAAACCAGTAGAGTGTACCTACACTCTACGTTCTTTCTTACGAAACTTTTCTATCATTTTGAAATTCGATAATATACTTTAAAAAAATATTGTCTTACAAACAATATAGCGTAAGTAGACAAATTTCTGTCTCTGAGGCTTCAAAAAGACTCCCGCCAAACGAAATGATGGTTGCGGTTTTTATCTATTTATCCGTCTGTGCCGTTAATTAACGCACCCCGAAGAGTCTGCTACGGTCAATAAAGCTTCCGGTGATTCGATGAATGATTAACGGTGTTATCGATTGCTTCGTTCGTTGTTATGGCTTGTACGAACGATTTTCCGTAATTACTACAGCGATATCGTTACGGTGGACAAGCGTGGCCGAGCCGAAAATCCGCGTGTAATTCATTCTAACCCACGATTTATTAACGGTTAGAATATTTCCGTCCATAATTTTCTACAAAGCTCGCCGAGCGATTTACCACTCAACGTAATTGGAATCGTTATGCGTCGTGTAATTAGACGATGGTAATACGGACAGGATGATTTGTAAACAACAGGATTTCAAAGGGTATGGAGACAAATTTATACTTATAATATTCGTTGTTGGTATCATACATAACTTTCTATTAACTTTATTGGCTTGGAAGTTAAGGGAGGCTTTGGAGACCAAGGATTTAGGCAGATGAGGACATGTATAGGGTGTTTCACAAATATATGTGAAGGATTATGGGGATGTAAGAAGCTGAGGATATAGGAATATATAAACATAAGGATATAGGGATATAATGACTCACAGGGTGCGTCAGGTGGTACTTATTGAACATAACGCAAAGACGCACCATATGCGTCATATTCTACATACTGTTTATAAGGTAATGACTCACCTGCTGCGTCATATTGTACTTACTGGTTATAAGGTTATGACTCACCTGGCGCGTCATATTGTACTTATTGGTTGGCAGGTACTGACGCACCTGGTGTGTCATATTCTACCTACTGGATATAAGATGACACACCTGGTGCGTCATATTCTACCTACTGGATATAAAATAATGACTCACACGGTGCGTCATGTATTGAACATAACGTAGATACCTAGTGATCTATGAACCTACGGACCTAGTCCCTAGTTATTACAGTAATAATTGAGTACTCAAAAGTTTCCTCCAACTACTGGCACAGTCTACATGACCTTCCATTAAATTAACCTTAAAATTTCAAATTTCAGACGTGGAATTAGAGTGTCTCGCCACGTGGAAAGAGGGCAGTACCTACAATCTCGTCGCGCGGCTACACGGCGCGCGGAAGACCAACGACGAAGATAGCTACAGATGCTTTATTTACGAGCAAACTTCGAACAACTCGTGGAATTTGGCACAGAGCGCTGACGCCTCTTGCGCGGGATTGATCAGCATCAAGGAAGCTGCCAGGACCTTTAAATTGAAACAGAGTAAGTATTGAGCCCTCCGATTGTCACCTACCGTACTGTAAAAGTTCGAACGTTATTTTATGAGACACTAAAAAATTTTATCCCCGAATCTTAACACGGTCGTAGAAGTTTCGGAAGTCGTAGAAGGTGCAAATGAGAACGAGTATTTCCCAAAGTTTTATTTCACTTGTTAGACAATGTTAGGTGATCGTAGCAGGTTGAATCACCTTGTAGTAGGTTGAAACACCCTGTAGCAGGATGGAAACCGCGAGAGGTGATAGGAGCAGGCTCGAAGAACGAGAGCACGTAAACTATGAGAGTGTCCATGGGCAGTAGATCGAATTCTTGCAGCGCATGCTATCGAGACCGACGTCAGGTACTTGGAATATTCCATGGTATCGCATACCTGTATGTATCCTTATCAGATTGCGATGATTCTGGCGCTGCAGCCACGGTTAACCAAATTGAGGTGATGGCCAGGCCTCTCTGAGCCACACCCGGCATTCTTGGGATTGATTTCGTCGGAACTACCCGTAAATTTCTTTGGCTTCCCATCTGAAAGGCCTAACGTGGAATTTTAGCTGGCTTCTTGCTGGAACGCTGCACATGCACCTATGTGCAAGGATTCTGCATGTTGGAACAGATTGAGACGAGTTTATTGATCCACATTCTATGGGATTTCATTATCACCACATACTTTATATTATTATTAACCCCTTAGGCTGTGTGCATCTCTCGGAAACTTAGAGGGAGCCACTATAGTTAAGAGGTTAATTTTTATGAGAGTTATATACTGCGTTATTAAATTATATATAATTAGGTTAGGTCTCTGTTTCTGACTCTTTCTATGTCTCAGGGATGAATCGTGATATGCAGAGCTCGTGCTACACTTTTTAAGAAATTTTATCGTTCATCCAAATTAAAGCTAAAAAGCTAATATTGGGATGTTAAGATGGCCATGAACTGATAGTCACGTTCTGGGGGTTAAAACGTGATTAGTACGACTGAGTATTGCTTTAAATGTTCTTATTTTGAATATGAAAGTGTGTTGATAGGCATGCATTTAGGGCTTTGTATGGTTTCGTTAGATCAGTTAGGTGCAGCGACGTAGATGGGGGTCCGAGATGGGATGGGTGACCGTTTTTTAATGTGTCGCGAAGTACTGTAGGTTCTCACAAGTTTTTCTGGTCCTCTCGTCTAGGAATTTCTGAGGTTCAAGGGGTGTTAAGTTGGGGGATTTTAGAATTCTATCTAGGGTTTCTAGTCAAGGTTTAGAACCAAAGCTAGGGGAAAATCGTTGGAATTGTCAAAATATCTAGGTATTTATACAAATGGAAGGACAAGGAAATCCACTAAAAATATATGCAAGTTCTAGGGTTGTAGAATTCTTCATAACTATAAATTAATTCCTAGATTAAGTCCCTAGAATATAATTAAATATACCTAATAGTTAGTATCCTCTAGATATTTATATGAATCGAAGTTGCAAAAATGAAATCTACTAAAAATTCTGGAATCTTTCAGAACTCTAGATTAATCCCCTAGATTTGAGTCCCTAGATCAATAAAATATCCCTAGAATCTTAAAGAACCGTTAGAATTCTATAAAGAAAATGTAACTATCATCAAGATTAGTTAACAAAAAATTCCTAGAAAGAATTGTAAGATCCAAGAGTACCATGGGTCTAAGTTCACAGTACAGTTCATCCAGAGTTCAGAAACCCTAAGTTCAAGACCTCCAGTTTCCAACTGCTGATTCCAGCTGCAATCCCAAATCCTTCAGTAACTTCAGTAAAATCCAGAATATGGAAATCAAATAGGCAATCTTGTTACCAGCTTAATTGATCATCACAAATGTTCCACTGCTCCACATTCATTGAAATTTGTCTCATTCCACACTACAGACACGTAGATATGAATAGATGGTATCAGATGGAGATGATCTTGTCGCTGGCTTTGTGGTCAACCGCATCCGGAATACATGACCGATTGCGCAATCCGGTTGCAAGTGCACTAGGATTTATTTCCTATCCGTTTTCCCCAATATACGTTCATTACTTTCAATGTTTGTAATATTCATGTTTGGAGGATCCAGGTAAAAGAATGAAAAGCACATGGTCAGTGTCTAAGCAGCTTAAGGATTTTTCGCCACCATTGGATCCGAATGTTTCGTTAACCTCGTTTCCTGGCGTTAGCTCGCGTTTCCATTTAAACTTTCCAGAAGGCAGATTAGCTCTGGAATCCCTCTCCAGGCTTTTCCGTGGCTCGGCTGACTGAAGGGAACATTACTCACGCTGATGTCTCCTTCAACATTCTGATTTCGTTCTGATGCGCGTAAGAAAATGTCGTTTGTCGATTTCGGTAACATTCACCAGATACGATTATGCCAACTCGACAAACATGAAATACATTAGCTTCTGAAAGTAGTTTTACCTGAAATTCAGATTTCGAGTAGAACGTGATTGAGTTAGAAAAAAATGTTAGAAAGCAAAATGGAGGGAATGCAATAATCGTACACGAACGATGCCTGCCTGTAAACAGTTATCGTGTCGATGGTCGACTGCTCACAGCCATCAATCATTGTGCATGAATTAATGGACCGTTAAAAATGCACAGGCGTCGAAGTATGCAGTACAGAACGTGTCGGCTGAAAGGCGGTCGATAATTCGATCGGACAACACGATCTGGGGATGTCTATCCGCGTTACAATTTAACAACATTTTTTGCTACCACTTTTTTTTCATTCCCGCGAATTATTCGCCGCTTTTATTTATAACTTAATAACACTTCAATTTCACGTTCCAGGAAAAACACGTGGAATTTGTTACAGAAAAATTTAGTTCTTTAATGACTGATATGAGCGAATTGAAATATTGAAACACTCTCTGAAAAATGGTAGCTAAAAGGCCGTCTATCCGATCAAATATTGACTCGTTCTACTGAATATTTTCCAATTTCTGCGAAATCCTTCGCAAACGGATTTTAGTAGAATTAACAATTTTCGAACGGTGAAAATAGATACAAGTTTGAATTATTTAAACGGATGTCGTTAATCATTTTCAATTCGCGTTAAAACAGCCCGGAGAAGTTTAACCAATTGCAGAACTTCGAAAGCTCCCTCAGTGCGAATAAACGTACGCCTGTTATACCTTTAGCACGCCAACAATTCCTTGAACAGGGATTTTAATGTAACTCGATCCCTCGTCAGAGTGCAACTGCTTAATTAGACGTCGAGACGGAAAAGAAAAAGGACCGCGTATAATCCGTCGGATTCGTCGTAACGGATAGAAAATGGCCACGACAGTCGTACGATTAAATTTATATCCTGCGAAGGGAAAAAACGGGACAAGTTTACGCGTACTTTGGTTATCAGCTGACGGGACTTGGGGAACTCGAAGAGTCTGGAATGAGTTTCTGCTTGCATTATGCACTCGCGGAGCTTGGAATAACCGCGTTCGCGACGAAGTTATATTATTACGAGGAAGGAATAAAGCCTCCGCGAATCCTCCTTCTTCGACATCTAATCGTATTTAACTTCGGGGATCAAAAGTTATCGGATGTTTTTTGAATCACACGATTTTGCTGTAATCAAAATATGTTGTCCATGGGAAGTTAGGGGGGGTTTAAGTCATCATTTTGCCGGTTTCGAATTTGTTAAGAAATAGCAAGCTTTCAAAGTTTGCAATTTTTATCCATTTCTGCGAAAATAGGTTTCACTTACGAATTTTTCTCTCAGAAACTATTCGACCGATTTAGCTAAATTCTTTTTTGTTTTATTCGTGAAGGATTGGGCTATTTTAAAATATTTTTTTTAATTCCGTCAATTTTTTATGAAATTTCGAAAAATTTTATAAAACCCCGCATTAAAAAAAACGCGCAAAAAGAATTTGTTTAAATTTTTCGACATTTCATAACAAGTTGAAGGAATTGAAAAAAATATTTCAAAATAGCCCAATCCTTTGTGAATAAATCAAAAAAGAATTCAGCTCAATCGGTTCGGTAGTTTCTGAGAAAAAAATTCGTAAGTGAAGACTATTTTCGCAAGGATGAACAAAAATTGCAAACTTTGTAGGCTTGTTATTTCTTAACAAATTCAAAACCAACAAAATGATGACTTAAACACCCCCTAATTTCACATAAACTACAAAATATATTGATTAGAGCAAAATCGCAGATGATCTAACACCATAACACGGACATCTTATTCATTTAATTTGACTTATATCATAAATTGATGCGCTAAAAGACTGTTCTAATTTCAGAAAATTCACCGAATCGCTGTACTTATCCTTCGTGGGTGGTGGCGAACAAGTCATGGGTGGCGCTGGATCCGATAGCGTCTCGACTGCAGGCATCGCCTTACAATATGACGATCCTCGATCGAAAGGAGACACGTCTCGTGTGTCATTCTGTGGTTCCCATAAGCGACCGCCCCTTCAATCCTGACAAAGAGAACCAAGTGCAGTACGTCGCCAAGGCTACCCTCGATTGGTGAGTACTCAAGTATAAATGTCATCCGCAAATTTCATGTTATATTACCTGGCCATCAAGTTTAAACTTATGAGGGTCTTAGTAATATAGAGATGTAGGGTTTTAGTGATCTATTAATGTAAGGGATTCAGGAATGTATGCTAGATGTAAGAATTACGAGATTTAAAGATACGAGGACATAGCCTTTTCAAGTATGTAGATAAGGATTTAAGGATTTATACTTAGTTACTACAGATGTAGGGATATAGGGGTGTACAGAGACCTGAGGTATGTGAAAACACATTTTACTGCAAGAACTAAGAGAACTACAAAGGTAGTTCCTTGAATAGAAGTATTGTCAGTGAAATGGTTGACTTGTACCACTTAAATGTTACACAATTATATTATGTATTGATAATTGCAACACGTGATATTGGAATAGAAAAGACAGTTTGAAATTTATATCTAATCTATATTGAATCTATATCGAGTGATACGAATACATTACAGTCGTATACGTTATAGTAAGAAATGACAAATAGTACATCCCCGTGAGTAGTCAGACATTTCTCCCTTGGCGGACTAATCTTTTTCCGGTTTCACGTCGGCCGTGTTTCCTTCGTTTTTTCCCCAGGACGAAGGACTTAATGATGAGAATTCCACGAGCGGAAGTTACCTCCGGTATCTTCTGGGAAAATTAGTTGCGAAAAACAGCTCCATTAATGGAGTCGTAATCAAGTTTCATTAAGTTGGTAAAAAGCTAAAGTCTGAAATGGCTCCGTTTTAAATACTATATAAACGAAGCTTTCCTTTGGGTGGATTTGTGGAGAGAATTGAAACACGATCTTAGGAAAGGATCGTTAGAAAGCGGAGACGTGTCCTTCGATCGCGTGCAATTTCCTCGGCGCCATTTTCTTTCCACTATCCGTCACGAACATATGAATTCGCGATGGCTGCCGCTCCAGGATATAAAAGAATACCTGTCCCCGCTCTTCTCCCGCGAGGAAAGCGAGGGAAGAAACTCTTGCGCCAGAGCTCTCATAAAGTCGCGAGCTGGCGCGTAATCGCGAGTATATTAAAGCGCGAGATCAGCTTGGAAGATTCGCGAAATAAGAAGTGAAAGACCTTTTTACACTCGGGTGTGTGATATGTGCCGAGAAATATTAGCTTTCGAAACTCGTTAGCAGCTTTAAATAGGAACATTTCAAACATACGTTACGATGGAGGTGAAGACCCTAGGATACTGAAAATATACCTTAAATACCTTATTGAAAATACCTATTCAATTTAACGTAAAGACGCACCATATGCGTCATATTCTACTTACTAGTTATGTGATAATGACTCACCTGGTGCGTCATGCACCATCTACTTGACATAACATAGAGACGCACCATGTGTGTCATATTCCACCTACTGATAATAAGGTGATGACGCACCATGTGTGTCATATTCTACCTACTGATAATAAGGAGATGACTTTCCTGGTGCGTCATATTCTACTTGCTGGTTATAAAGTAATGACTCACCTGGTGCGTCATATTCTACTTGGTGAAAAAGTAATGACTCACTTGGTGCGTCATATTGTACTTACTGGTTATAAGCTAATGACTCACCAAGTGCGTCATATTCTACCCACTGGTTCTGCAGTAATGACTCACCTGGTGCGTCATGTACCATCTACTCGACATAACATAGAGACGCACCATGTGTGTCATATTCTACCTACTGATAATAAGGTGATGACTCACCTGGTGCGTCATATTGTACTCATAGGTACTGACACACCAGGCGCGTCATATTCTACCTACTAAAAAATGATCGAAAGTATTCTATAATTATGTAATTGTATTGACACAGGAATAAAGATTGATAACGCAATATTTTTGACAACAACATCATTTTATGTAAACTGACGTTCACGTTATCGCAACATCACTTAATGAAACAGCGAGGAATACACTTGAAATGCAAATTGATGATCTTCTTTATTTCAAAATCAACAATAATTTATTCATACCGTAAATTGCTGCTGATTATACAACATAATTAATTCTGTTACAATACACGTAATTAATTCCAGCTGGAAGGGACTATTATACACGACACAAACATCATTACTGCAATTAATCGATGGAAGAATTAATTAAACGTCGAATGGACAAACTTAACGACAAAAAAAGGCCGGGAAAGGACGGGTGGGGGAAGCAACTTCGAAACTGTCGGGAAAAGGTTTTTCGCCAATTTAAATTGCAACGAAACGGGCTGAAAGTTCAACAAAACATCCCCTTCGATTCTCATCTCATTTTCATGAAATTGAACGTCCTTTTAAAAAGATTTACCAGTTAAACAACGGGTCCTTCCGCGATAAAACACATGATTGTACATATAAAAGGTTTTCATAATTATTGTAATAATTTCGATAATCCTGGGAGAATCGCCAGATATCGCCCGTTGGAGAAAAGAAATCGCCAGAACTCGACTACGAAAAGTGGTTCCCTTGTTTGAATAATCAGACAGCTATTACCGTCGAACAAAAAACACAAAGGATGTTTCATAACGAGCATTCAGTTTGCTTAACCGCATCCCTCTTAACCCTGTTTCACAGATTTAAATGCCAGTCGCGAGATTTTCCGTCGAAACACATTGCTCTATAGCCCTCCATTCACTGGTCCACCGACTATTCAACCCTCCCGCTGATCTACTTCCACCCCCGTTAGCCCGTTCAGAAGGGGATGAATCCCGATATGCAGAGACACAGCTCGTGACTGCTACCCTTTTCAAGAAATTTTACCGTTCATCCAAATTAAAGCTAAAAAGCTAATATTGGGATGTTAAGATGGCCATGAACTGATAGTCACGTTCTGGAAGTTAAAACGTGATTAGTGTAACTGAGTTTTGCTTTAAATGTTCTTATTTTGAATATGAAAGTGTGTTGGTACGCATGGATTTAGGGCTTGTTAGGTTTCGTTAGATCAGTTAGGTGCAGCAACGTGGGTGGGGGTCCGAGATGGGATGGGTGACCGTTTTTTAATGTGTCGCGAGGTACTGCAGGTTCTCACAAGTTTTCTGGTGCCCCTTATTAGGGAATTTCTGAGGTTCTAGGTTTAGGTTAGGGATTTTAGAATTCTTCTTAGGTGTCTAGTCAAGGTATAGAACCAAAGCTCTAGGGGAAAATCGTTGAAATTATATCAAAATATCTAGATATTTTTATGAATCGAAGGACAAGAAAATCCACTAAAAATATATATATGTAAGTTTCTTCTAGGGTTGTGGAATCCTTTCAGAGAACTCTCTAGATTACTCCGTAGATTATTAAGTCCCTAGATTAATGAAATGTCCCTAGAATCCTAAAAGAAACACCCCTCCCCTCCTAGTATTCCATAAAGAAAAAGTAAATATCACCAAGATCATTAACAAAAAATTCCTAGAAACTAAAGCAATTCCTAAAAATTCCCAAAGTTTCTCAAAGGGAAATATCAGCAGTATAAAACCTAAAATCCTAAAGTTATGAGTCCCTGGCGTCTCGTAAAACACACAGTAATTTATTCCAGCATATTCAGCAGCAAAAAATTCTCATGCAACGTTACAATTATTCATACGCAACATCGAAGTAACACGCGAGCACACAAAGTTGCAGCTGTGGGATTCTGCGCCCATAGAAACGGAGAGCTCCTTTGTAACCCTCTTGCGAGGGAATTCTATTCACTCAGGGACGGAACAGCAATCATAAATATCGCGGGGGAATATCGATCGGTGAAGTACAATGGCCACCAGAATATTTATCAATTCACAGCCGTCGCGCTGCACTGTGTTGTGTCACACAATCGTTACAAGGGAGAGCCCGTAGAACTGTTCCTAACGATTGTGCGGCTAATAACAATTAAACGTGGACGAAAGGTTAATCGTAACAGGGGTTTCGATTTGTAATACAAGCATGAGCGGATAAAAATGACGCGCGCGTGTGTAGCACATCGATTCCCTGTTGTCGCGTGGTTTTTGCTGTCTGATCAATGGGAGTTCCGTGTTTCTCGCGGGCCGAATCAATTGCTGGATTAAACGGTCTGATAATTGGTTGCTCCATTGATAACTCAACGAGCTTTTTAACCGATTGATTGAAGAATTATGGGCGGTTTCGAAATCTCGTTGTTTATTCTACCTTTGCAGGCAATTTACTTTCCCCGTTGTTGACATATTCGAAGCGAATGTGTTTTAAATTACATCATAGTGAAACACAATTAAAAATGAATGACGTAACCTTGATTACAATTACAATTACCTTGAATACATTACAGTATACAAGTAATACTGTACATAATTAATTGCGTAAAAATATATTAGACCATTTTGTCGTGTTTATCAAGGTTTCGTTGTGTGTATCAAGGTTTGTTAATAATTCGAGAAGTTGTGTAGCAACACGGAAACGTGCCTCTCCGTCTGGAGCCACAGCCAAGAAGCAGAAAGCTCGCTTATTGAATTAAAAGCACCACCATATAAACATTCCCTGAACGAGATATCGATACCACCGCCCCGACCGGAAACGTGCTTGTTCCCGGCTGGTGCAACAGGAAAGGGTGTTCCTATCGTGAAGTAATGTTCTTATCGCGGCTATATATCGAACCGAACTGCATCGTGTACTGCATAAAACTTTCGTTCGATTCGACGTGGCCGCGAACTCAAAACGGCTCGGCGAATCTATTCCTTGAACAGCCCCGTTTTCTACATTGTTGAGCTACATCGACTGTGTGTCGAGATAAAACGGATAAACGTGTTGTTTTCTCTCACGAGCGACGTTCCGACATCTGACATTTTCTAGGAATTACAGTATTGCTATAGAAACTGGTGACGCGTTATCAGAAATCAAGTGCGTCAATTGCAAAATTAATGTTGTCATGTGATTTGATACTTTCGGATTCAATTGCGTAATATTAATGTATTGTAATATTGTGTACTATAGTGTAATGCTATTATATTGTGGAATATTACCATTTTGAAGAAATGTGAATGTTAGTGACATTTAT